CCCATGAACCTCCAAGTAGTCGCAGGGAAAAAGAAGGGTGTTTAGATCGTCTGCAAAGTCATGAGAAGTTCCAACGCACAGAGTTTCGGGTTTGGGGGTCTTAGGGATTGGGGTTGCTGCTTTTGTTGGGTTTTCCTTTAACTTCCTTTTTTCTATATATCTATCTATCTATCTAGCCTCGGCTTTCGAAGTTGGGGGTTGAACTAGTAGTAGTCTCGCGCTTTGGGTTTCAGGGGCCCTTGGGCTTGGTGGTGTATTCCTAAAGGACTCGAGTCGTAAGCTGGCTCAGATTCTGAGGTCAGTAGAAGTTAGGGTAAAGGGGTTTAAAGGTTTAAGGTTTTAGGGTTTAGGGTTCAGTGTTTAGGGCTTAGGGTTTAAGGTTTTAGTGATTTGGGGTTTAGGGTTTAGGGCTTTAGGGTTTTAGGGTTTAGGGTTCAGGAAGCCAAAGCACGACCCTATGCAGAGGTTCCTTGCAAGCCCAAATCCCGAAACCCTGAAACCTTAAACCCCCAAACCCTGCGACCGTAAACCCTAAACCCTAAAACCCTGAAGCCCGAAAACCCTAAACCCCAAAACCCCAAAAACCCTTACAGGAAAAGCCCAAAAGTTGGAAACCCAATAGCCTCAATCCTTCAGAGTAATGTAAAGGGAATCCCAGCACTAATTGGCCTTAATCCGGTTTCCAACTTTTTCGGCTTTACTATAACCCCTAAACCCTAAACCCTAAACCCTAAACCCAAAACCCCTAAACCCCAAAACACTGCAACCCTAAACCCGAAGGCCATGAGGCCTGAAGGCGAGCAGGAAAATGAATCTAGGGTCGGTGGAAGTACGGACCCTGTACTCCCTTTCGTTTTAGGTTTTAGGGTTTAGGGTTTAGGGTTTAGGGTTTAGGGTTTAGGGTTTAGGGTTTAGGTTTTAGGGTTTAGGGTTTAGGGATCTAAGTGCCTGGGTCAACAAGACTTAGGGTAATGGCAAACCCTAAACCCTGGACCCCAAACCCGGAACCCAAACTACTGCAGGTACCACAGGCTGGCACAGGCTCCCAAGATACTCAGTCTTGACGTTGCGAGCAACTCAAGACACCACAACAACTGCAAACCATCCAAAAAGACTAAGAAGGGCGTTCTGACCCCAGAGGTCCTACAGAGGTGTGGGCAACACACTGCGAGCCCCCATGAACTTCCACACAAAACCCAGTATCACCCCTTAATCCGGTCAACCCTGAGTGGGAGCGCTGGGTTGGTGTTTATGGCCTGGGGTTCAGGGTTTAGGGTTCAGGTTTTCACCAGAGGTGCCGTCATGCGATGTGCTTCACGAACAGAGCCGACCTTCCCCAATGTTCGCGGAACGTTCGCTGTGGAATCGTCTCGTTTGGATTCAGTCTTTGGTGTGTTGGTGTTCAAGAAAACAGTGGGACCTCAGTTAGAGGTGCTGAAGAACACATCGAGCTCCCATGCTCTTTGGCTTTAAGATTAGAGTCAATCTGCTGGTGCCTCTGGCTTCAAAGGGCCTTGTGATGTGACTTCTAGAGGGCTTAACCCTAAACCCTAAACCCGTGAATGAAAGCTTCGAAATAAACCCTAAACCCTAAACGAGCACCTGCGAGAGACTGTGGTCCGCAACCCGGGGTTGACAGTTGCGCAGGAGCCCCTGACCATGAGAACATCTGAAACCTAATATCGGGGCCTTAATAATTAGAATAGGGCTTTGGGGGTTCCTTGCTATAAATATAGTATAACGTACCCCAAAGCCTATTCCAATTATTAAGGCCCCTATATTAACACTGAACCTCAAAACCTCAACACTGACTCTGCTTCTCGGCAGTTAAAGCCAAAACATAGGACTCGTGCCCAAGCTACTTCGGATGGAGCACCGTCAGAGCCCCTGCTACGATAGATTGGGTTTAGGGCTTCGGGTTTAGGGTTCAGGGTTTCGGGTTTAGGGTTAGGGTTCAGGGTTTAGGGTGTAGGGTTTAGGGTTTAGGGTTTAGGGTTTAGGGAACCCCTGAGAGGGCCGCAAAGGCCCTAAACTCTCAACCCTGCAGTGTACTTGGAGGTTCAGGGGTAGTTTATTTGTGGGGTTTATGGGTTTCCTTTAAGGGTTCCTTTAGAGGGTTCTATAGGGTTTAGGGGTAGTTAGTAGTGGGGCTATAAGTCCCCTAATATGGGGTAGAAGTATAGTTGCCCTACTTATGACCCCATTTATAACTACCCATGATCCCTAAACCCTAAACTCTTATAGTAACCCTTGTAGTAACCCTTATAGTAAACGCGTTTACAAAATATAACTACCCATGAACCCCCAAGTAGCCCCACAACCCTCACTCCAGTCCTACCCCACTCCAGACCCGAAGCCAAAACAGCCCTAAACCCTAAACCCCAAAGCCTATAAGGGTTTAGGGTTTAGGGTTTAGGGTTTAGGGTTTAGGGTTTAGGGTATAGACTCTAAACCCTAAACCCTAAACCCAACCCCAAACCCTGGACTCCCCAAGCCGAAGCCTTAATCTCTGAAACCCCAAGCCCTCAAACAACCCTCACGGGATAGGGTTTAGGGTTTAGGGTTTGGGGTTGAAGCCTTAACCTTTACCCATAGGCCCTAAAGTAGTTCCTTTTTGGGGTTCATATGTAGAATCCTATAAGGTAACCCCCAAAAAGGACCTACTATGGGGCCTATGGGTAAGTTGTAGGGTTTAGGGTTTAGGCTTCAAGGTTTAGGGTCTTAGGGTATAGGGTTTAGGGTTTGGGGTTGAAGCCTTAA